GGACTATATGCTCTGCCACTTCATGGTAGCCGGTTTCTCCCTGTCCGAGAAGCGATGGGCGTGGTTTTGTGTCGACTTGGTCAAGGACATTGACTTTGACGATGAGGCCTTCGACGCCCTCCTGCTGCCTTCTAAGCAGAAGCGCCTCGTCCGCGCGCTGACGTCGAAGCACACCTCGAGCCAAGGCGGGTTTGATGACCTGATCCAGGGCAAAGGCAAGGGCTGCATCTTCCTGCTTCATGGCGAGCCGGGAATCGGGAAGACGTTTACCGCCGAAAGCCTCGCCGATGATATAAAGCGTCCGCTCTATGTCATGATGTCAGGCGAACTCGGCTCCGATGTCAAGAGCGTCGACAAGAACTTGAAGAACGTCCTTAAGCTAGTGACTAGATGGAACGCTGTCTTGCTCATAGATGAGGCGGATGTTTTCTTGGAAAAGCGATCGTCCCGCGACCTCGCGCGTAATAGCCTGGTCTCAAGTAAGTTCATATGTCCTTTTTGCGCTCGAGCATGTGCTAATGCGATTCCTAGTCTTCTTACGGACCCTAGAATACTTTTCGGGCGTCATGTTCCTGACAACTAACCGCATCACGTCCTTTGACCCCGCGTTTCAGTCGAGAATCCACCTGGCCCTCAAGTATCACCCGCTTGACTCGAACGCTCGAGAATCATTGTGGAGACTCTTCCTTCAACGTACTTCGGGATTCAACGCCGAAAACTGGCCGCCTGAGGTTTTGAAGGAGCTTGCAGCGGTGGACGTTAACGGGCGCCAGATCAAGAATACCGTGTCTACTGCGTATGCCCTGGCCTTGGCTGAGGACCAGAACTTCGGGCCTGAGCAGGTCCGGGATGTATTGGAGACAGTCGATGAGTTCCGCATGGAGTTCAACAAGGAGACTGAGATACATGAAGATCCATCAGAGGAGGGTGCGTTGCCAACAACCTTTGACCTCGGGCTTCCGGAAGACGCATGAGGCAGAATAGAACAGATGCTCAAAGAAATATGCGTCGCTTAGAGGTAAATCAGTTGCGAAAAGAGGAGCGATGCGTCGGAGTATTCATAGCTTAACTACAACAACGCGGAAAGATGACCAGGGCTAGATAGTTGAAATATCTAGGTTGCTTCAGAAGACGAAAGCGGTTGTACCCGTAAACATTATGCGCAGATCAATTCAGCGCGCAGTCCCAAGCAAATAACCAACGTATATCAATGAGCGATATGTTCGAGGAATACTACACCAGTAAAATCCGGGACGTGACGGCGTATACTACGGTGTCAAGCGCAAGTTTTTCCCCTGGACATGGTGACGCGCTAGATAGGGAGCCTCGCAGGGGCTTTTCATCAGAGGTATCTTTTCGAGGCTTTTCCAAATTTGGTATGATTGGTAGAAAAGATACCAGTGCAAGGGGGAAAACTTTGGCCTGATATCGTAGTAGGTTACTCACTGGCGCACAGCGGGCCGAGATGATTGGCTAGTTGTTCCGGTTGGAGAACCAACAGCATACTGTATGAATCCCTGCAGCCACTCAATGTTCCAGACACCTTCGATGCCTCAACCTTTTAACTCGACTTCAACTTCTCGTTTGGTCCCTTGCCGCAACAGCAACACCCCATCCGCGCCTCGTATGTCACATCCCTTAATTGTTATAGGAAGAAGAACAGGCGGCTATCAGCTCAGATGGCCCAGCTCGAGGATCTCCCCAACGAGTTGATACTCATGATAGCTCGTTCTTCCACATCTTGGGAAGACATTGCAGCCTTATCCGCTGTAAATAAACACTTCCGTGACCTTGTTGGCAAGCTGCTGTTCACCCTCCTAACCCGTCTCGGATTCGGACCCCTCTGCTTACATTGGGCGGTCCAGGAAGGACAGGCTACGATAGTGAAAGAGTTGTTGTCCTTTGCAGTCAACCCAAATGAGGGATTCGAGCCACCGAAATGTCTCAACCCGGACGACAATTCCCGCCGTATTCTGTATCGAAAAGCCGACGGTGAGTATGTTACAGCCGGTGATATTATCCTGCAAACGCATTTTGGCATTGCCGGGACGGCAACCCGCTCTGAATCAGCCTCCGATAATCCTTTTATAGACGCGTGCAACATGTCGAGAAATGACCCCTTGAGATTGCCTTCCCCGACTTGCCAATCTTCGCTTTGCCAAGCGCAACCGTCGCTTGGGTGTCCAGGAATGCTGGACGTACATCGTCACCACTGCTGGGCTGGTGGCAGACCTTTGCCCCTGATACACTTAGCTGCGCAGAATGGTTCCGTCGAAATTATCTACCTCCTAGCAGGGAACGGAGTTGGTCTGGATTCGTCATACGATCGCTGTGACAACTGCGAGTGGAGGCCCACCAGCCTTATGTCACCGATTGCTCCCAAACCATTGTTGACCGCGCTCCACTATGCAATATGCTACGGACAGACATCGGCGGCGATGCTATTAATGGAATCTGGGTTGACTCGAGTCGAACAAGGTGTGCCGGTTGTCGCTTATTATCCTCATTATGCTGGCGGTCTACTAAGCCCAAAATTTCCGACCGGGCCTCTACATCTAGCCGCTCTGAGAGGCAATGTGGAATTAATAGAGAAGCTTGTTCTAGCTCGCCTCGCCGGCGATATACAGGAGCCTGACAGGTACGGGTTAACTCCTTTAGCATATGCGAGTTATGCTGGACACCTTGGGTTAGCCGGCAAGTGTTTATTGCAACATGGAGCGGACCCCAATGCGGCCTCGTTCAAGGGAGACTGTAGCCTGCTGGTAGGGGCATGCTTAACTCAAAACTTCGAGGAGGCGCTGATGTTGCTAGACTTCGGCGCATCCGTCGGGGCTCGTAGGGCTTGCGACGTGACGAGGCTCCGTGCGACAGCTCTCCACGCTTGCTGCATATCAAAACACAGCTTCTCAGAGGCGGATGTCGACTCTGCCCGGAACGTATGTGAACATTGGCGGCAGAAGGTTGTCGAGAGACTGCTAGGATTGGACGCCGCTTTGGACATCAGAGCCGATCGCACTTTGCCGAGGATTCCTTTCCGAGCTACGCCTCTGGTTTTGGCTGCACAAAGCAATCTGATCAATATTGTGAAGCTGCTGCTAGCTGCCGGCGCGGATGTCGACTTCTGGGACGATTCCCAAGACACACCCTTGACTAAAGCAATTCGCACACTGCGGGGTAAGGCTTTGGTCGACATGGTGTCTTGTCTTCTAGACTACGGGTGCAATGTTAACTGTACGAACCATTCTGGCGATACGCCTCTGCATCTTTTGGCTTCGGCCATGCTTCCAGGCTATGATCCACAACAAACCACTACGCAACACGAGCTCACAGTCGTGAAAAAGCTGTTGGACCACGGCGCAGATATTCATGCGCGACGTGGGGACCGTTCTGTGTTTCAGGCGTTCTGCGGCAGGGGAGCGCTTGAAATCAGCAAGTTTCTGTTGGCTCGGGGTGCAAAAGCCTCCATGCGACCGCAGGACCCCTCTCAAGCACTTCTGTTACTGTTAACCAGCCGACCCACGCCCGAGGTCCCAAGCCGGGAAGAGTTCCTAGAGATCACAGAATTTCTTCTCGGTATCGACGAGGCCGGGGTGATGCTATCGAACCCCGAAGTCCTCGAGACGGCCGTAGAGCAGAAATACGAGGGCGTGGCCATACACCTACTCGAGCGAGGGCGTGCCATCGCCTTAAAGACAACGGGACCTCTCTTACCGGCGATCCCCATGTCCCTACAGCCCGGCCAGGACGCCAGGTCCTCGCTCCTAGGCACCATCATCCATCACAAGATGGCAGACCTGCTGGAAACCCTCCTCGCTCAACGCGGCTCCTTCTCGCCGGGCCTCACCGTGGCCGAGGCCCCCTGGCTGCACACGGCCTGCGACGGGTCCAAGGAGCCGCCGAGCCCGCAGGTCCTCGACGTGCTCCTGCGCCACCGCGTCCCGTACGGCACGCGTGCGTGGGGCGGCCACGGGCCCGTCACGCCGCTCCAGCTGCTGCTGCTGAGCTACCCGACGCTGACGTGCTGCGGCACGCGCCGCTGCGCCTCCACCCGGCTCTTCCAAGATCAGCTGACATGTCATTGCAGCAGCGTCCTGCTACAGTGCATCGTCGTGCTGCTGTCGCGCGGCGCCCTCGCGCCTCAAGACTACGAGGCCCCCGAAGCCGCCGCCGTCATCGCCGACAACCGGCCCCTCGTGCTGGCCGCGCTGCGCGACGCGGTCGCCCGCCGCGTCCCGCCGCTGCCGCAGACCTATCGTATGATGATGCAACCTGAGGGCCACTGCCTCAATTACATCGGCCGCAAGTTCGGCATCTCCGAGGCGGAGCTGAGGAATCCCACGCCGCTGCCGGCACGGTCCTTCTTCGATACGGTGCTTTGAAAGGATTACCTGATACGGCGGATTGTTAGGTATTGCGACTTGGAGAAGATAGGTGTACGGGTGAGTACATTGCTCCGTGTTGCTTCGAGTCGCTGAGCTGAACAGTTTTGAAATCTGTAGGGTCTTATCAGAACTTCATTTTTTTCCCCTTTTAAAGGAAATAATAATGGAAAATCTGTCTGTTTTCTTATCCTTCATTTCATCTTTGCGTGATACTTTTGAAATACGTGCCGGAATAGGATACGAGCACTCTAGCTTGGCTTCCCACCGTTATCAGACCCGTAACCATATCATAACATGGGACTTATTAGTGAGACATTTCCCAATGTTTGCTCTTATAGGCACTGATATATGCATTTATATTGGTCGTTCGTGTGATAATGCATGCAGTCTAGCTAGCATACACACTCTGAACGGTATTAGAATATCAAGATCACACCTTCGTATGCTGTGTTAGCTTACATGGTACGGGTGCCCTGCAACGCACTTATGAGTGTTCATATAACATTTTTGCTATCCAGAACATCTTAACACATGTTGATTGGAGAACGTAAAGGAGAAAAGGTTGCGTCATGAAAAACTAAGGGGAGAGGTGTACAGAAAATGGGGAAAAAAGAAAATTGACAAGGAAGGGGTTCGAACCCTTGCATCTTACGATAGTGGTGTTTAAAATATGATTACATAAGCTTAAAACCACCGCCTTAACCACTCGGCCACCTTGCCGTAATTTTTCAATTGTCTAAACTGCTCTGTATTACCCCCATATCTTATTCCCAAGCACTTCTGGCTGCAACAAAACCAATCCAGCCGCTTTGCGACCCCACGCTGCAATTCATGCAAGCTCACAGGTTCAACAGGAGCCAACTATAATTACCGATACGCAATTGATTGCGACCCCCTCGCTAAAACAGAGTGCTTGGTACCTACTGGTATGCTAGGAAACGATGATATAGACTAGGTACTCCAGTGTATCCGGTGCATCGAGACCAAGTCAATGCGCAAGAAAGACGGCAGATGCCTGTCCCGGATCCAGTATCCCAACACACGATGATTAGGGGTGCTATGCATGTACATGTAAGTGTAGAAATAATGACCTCAGAGCAGGGTTGAGAACTAAATCGCACCTCTTTCATCACATCACTCGCGTGTAGAGTTAATGCTAATATCATATCGGCCCAGAGCAGGTAAAGCTTTGATGCCTACACGCAACCCTGCCTTACACTCTCAGACTCCTATATCTGAGCCCAGGCTGTTTATCTCGGCTCGTATGGAGCCATATCCATGACCACACGATGTATATAGGTAGGCTTCCCATCTACATCATGCGACAGATTTATGCGTGGCGTCGGAATTACCTAGGGATATGTTAGCTAGCATAAAGGTAGACGAAGCGGTGTGTCAGAGAGAATGCCGCCTTACGCACTCCGATCCTTCAGTGGTGTAACGCCGTATCACACATCGCTGTCGTACGAACCATGGCCGTCATGATCCAGAACTTTTACAAATCGTCGTCTTCGGCCCTTCGCCTTTTTGTCGTCGGGTCACCGAGCACATAGCAGCGAACTGTGGCTATCTCTGCTCGCACTATAGGGCTTTGAACTTGGACAGTTCGAAGGGTGGTTAATCAGTGACTAGGCACGGTAGGCTAATAAGCGCATGAGGAAGTACAGTATGAGAACCCCCTTTCCAACTTTCCCACTCGGGGTCAGCCGCGTTAACCGAGATGTCTGGTTACACATTCGGAATATTAAGTATGTTTAGTCGCGTTAGATGTTAGGGTGTTATCCTGATGGAATGTAAATCGCTTGTGTTAAGACTGCCTGCTCAATCAGATTAAGGACCCTGATACTTCCTGGTATCGAAAAACGGGGTGCTTGGGAGCCATAGTTGGACTTAGCTATCAACCAAAACTGGCGTGTTCATAACGTTGTCCTACGTGACTTGAAATAGCCGATCGGTCTATCTGTGCTGATGATGCGATAGGGTTAATCCTCCTAAGGAAGCTTTGGCGTGTCGATGTTAGCTTATTGCTAATATGTATGTAGATGATCTTTAGCTCACCTTCAGCCATCTTAGCTCCCTATGTTTCAGCTAAGTAGGCTGTAATATTGGCATCTATGCTTGAGCTTGGAGCCTGTCGCCATTTAGCTTGAGGATTTTCCGGAGTAGGCTGAGGAGTTAGTTTTATTTTTTTTCTCTCTCCCTGTCTCATGTATATAGTATAGTGCAACACATTAGATCTCGTTAAAATAAGGCGTAGCTGAATCTAAGCTTAGTTGTCTATTATTTTCTCTATGCCATCAACAGTATGTACCCTTTTGGCCTCTCCCTGTAACTGTATATACCTATGTATGCGACTTGCTAATATTATGATTAATAGGGGCTGGCATCCATAACCAAGCAATAGGTCTGAGGTATCAGTACATGCATACCTGGTGGACATATTAACTGCACAAGTGATCGGACATATATGCTCGGTTATCGAGATCGGCGGCTATGTCGAAACTCTCCCTGATTGCTGACCAAAATACGTAATGGTCGACATCAACCCACTTTCAGTATATCCATGATCTCTGCCGACAACGCATGTAACCGCCTGTGAAGATCTTGCTGAAAAGAACTCAACAAACCGGAAGAAAAGGTGAACGGGCCTTCTCCACCGTGCGTGTTGCTCTTGTTGCCGATTGTACAATTGGGCGATGACGTACTATTTTGCTCTTTACTGCTGCATCTACCGTGGACTTTGAGTCGTTGAGATAGTACGTTTACTAATGGTTGTACGCGATGAAGCTCGCCAAGTATTAGTCCAGCGACCATGCGGCTATGGTTGTCGTTTCTGACGCAGCAGCCACGCATAATGGCGGGAGACTCAAGAACGTGCTCATAATAGCTAGGCGACACGATCGGAAAATTCCCCGAATTGTTTCCGTCATCAGTTGTAGGAGATGTCGCGCGCAGTGCTGCAGCATACCGATCTAAGACTTTGAAGACGATCAAGGAGACGATAACCAGGAGATAACCGTCTTGGGAACAGTGACACTGCAATATAGCCTTGATTTCCTCCAACACTTGCTCGTTTTCCTGTGTAATACTCTTCGTATCTGTGTGCCAGAAAGTGCCTGCTTCGGAGCTATCTAAATTACCCTTAGCCGTCCGGATGGTAGGCCCACGGGAGGAGAGTTGATTAAGGAGGCCAAGTGCACGTATCAAACAGTAGCACAGCTGAGTCACTGCTGGCAATGTCTGGTAATCGACAAAAGCGCCAGATTTTGTACTTGAAGAGCAGCGATCCTGAGAATGAAGCGACTTGAATAGGTTTGTCAGGCCTAAGGGTGATTCGTCGGATGTCTGGAGTGAAGTAATGAAGTCTGAGTCGGCCAACTCGCCAAGTTCGGAGAAATGGGTTTGATATATATCTTGGTTATTCTCCTTCGTTATATTTAATAGATCAGGGGAAATAGGCGAGGAGAAATTGTCTTGAAGCATCGAAACCGAAGTTGCCGGTGTAGGTGTAGGTATGGATTCGTCACCAGACAACATGTCTGAATACTTCGGTGTGAGCTGAGTCTGTCTAAAAAGAGGCCGAATGGAGTCGGACGATAGAGTGAAGTCTTGTAGAGACGGGATGGACCAGGCAGATCCCGTTGGTAATTCCAGTTGAATATCCGGAAAGTAAGGAGAACCGTTATCACTCGGCCTCCTCAATTTTTTCCGACCCGCACGCTTGGTTGCGAAGTATTGACATTTTTTGCCCCGTTTCATGCAACGGACACATGTGGGTTTCTCCCTACTGCACTTCACTTTAGCTGATGCACAGCCATGACAACTTTCTCGCAGCTTCGTTGATGTTTTTGGAGGTGTGTGATCAAGAGGTTCGCTAGGAGGAGTCGGCCATAGTGATATGGGCGATTCTGGTGAGTTGAGGGAAACCATATTTTGGTGCTGTGTACATGTAGAAACAAAGAAACGAGGCTACGATCGCATGCTAATTTGGCTCTACAATCAGTGAAGCATGAAGTGCGACTTTATAGAGATGTAATTAATACTAAGGATATTACCAATCACCATGTCATGCGTAACGCTGCATGTTTTTGTATTGGTGGGCTTCTGGAGGAATCACCTTCTCTTTGAATGTTACCTATTGGAAAATAGGGGTATGTATATTTTCATTAAGAAGAAGAATAAGTCCTGTTCAAGCCTAATGCTTATATTTCCTCGTTAATATAGTACGCAATAGACTTATGGATTACTCTGTGGCTGCTGAAGCCTACTTAGCTGACGTGATATTATAACAAAAGTTCCACGATTACGAATACTCTGCCTAGTAAATTGATTCGTGTGTTACAAGAGGTGCTGAGTTCTGCAAGCCTTGACTTAGATTAACCATACATAATAATATTTCCCCGGACTTTAATTGGTGCCTTTCAATAAGAATAGAGTAGAATAGCTAGTCTTACCTACATTATTCATCATCTTTCTTTTTTACTTTCCCAGTCTCAAGTATACAATGATATAGCGGTATCTGGATTGTGTTGATGAAATAGAACCATAAAAAAATAGTACACTCTTAAATATAGACCTCCTATTATCATCTTATTATACCTACCAATTCATGATTTGACACTCCTTTACTCCAACCTCAGAATGCTGTGAAACGTCGTACCATCTGGGCTTTCGTGTTTTGAAAAATATTACTTGATTAAGAAATAGTATCAACGAAGAAAGCCACCTATCACTATCTACCTCGGTGGAAGGCTGAGCGAAGTTGAACCGTCAATTTCGTATTGACAAGGATCTAATCTCATTCAAGTTCATCAAGATCTTCACCAAACCTGGGAGCCTAAGTGATCAGAGATGAAATAACTTCCTCTGTGGCTATTCCTTAACATCTAGTAACTTGATATGTTCCTTGATACTTGTGTCTTAACTGAAAGGGGTATGTTGTTAATAATGATGTTTACGTATTCATTCAATTCATTAACCAATGATAACAACAGAACCTATTTAGCGCTGGATTCAGCCTTGCCATGGTAGGGTCACAATGCTTACTTGTGAACCAACATGGTAGCTGACTTATTGGAGTTATCACTTCTATGAATGCAGAGTGTGATGTAGATGGAGGTATAACATGTACCAGTGCACAGATGTTATCTATAAGTGGAATTGAGTAGAACTTAGTATATTAGCTACCTCCACCTAAATTAATAATAGTATACATTGTGCATTTCACTGTGAACTCGTGCCCCCTTTCTGTTGTGAACATTAGAGCTGCCAAGACAGAAATGTGTGGAACAACGAGCGATATATTGTAATAGTTTTCACGGCCTTAACGGACTTAGTTCTCTCTAAGCGTTTAAAGATGTCAAAGATTTTAGGGTGGCTTTAAATAAAACAGAATATCGAAACAATAAAATGATAGCGATTTAATGGTGTTGCAGAGTTTAGATCTTGGTAGAAGGTCTATTGACGAGGTGATGATGAGATAACTGGTACAATTCATATATAATCCTAAAGTAAATATACTCTGGGTGACCGAAATACGAATGAGTTGGAAAGTTTTTGTGATTGTCTGAACTAGTTTGCCTTTGAGAACCTTTGACAGATTGGTAACACTGGTGCTAGGCTTTTTTAGTCCCTATATCTAGTCCTCGGCAGAGGTAACTTCTTAGGATATACAGGATATTGAGATAAGAAAAGTGTTCTCGTTTTGTGAACATATCTAA